ACCTTTAAATTATCTAGTTTTTAACTATTAAAGTGAGAAAGTAAATAGCTAGGTTCGTTTCTGTTTGTCATTCATTTCACAAGTTCATGCAATTGTCACGGTCGTACTGTTTTCACCTGCAATGGACATTAGACAATACATACATACCTTATAAACCAGGGATGGGCTGATTTTTGCTCCGTGTGGGGAATGACGTGGTTCTCTCCAGACTCAAAATTTCATTTGAAATATTATCCGGCGTGGTTCTCCCTTGTCCGTAATGCAGGACGGAGGGCCTGACAAGTACAGCTGTCTAGTCGTTCGTATGGGACGAAAAACCGAGGTCCCGTGTACACGTAAAAGATCTTGACAGTTAAAATTCGATATAAGAATAGGCCGCGGTGCCAAATTTCCCTCATAGCACACTGTTTGGCGTATGTCCTTCTTCATTAGCCCAGTTCGGAGGAGAACAGTAGCACGTTAAACTCCATTTCATTTCATTTCATTTCTTTTGAAAAAAAAGTCGACTCTATAGAGTATATCTTGGTGTTATTAGTTTATGCATGTTTATCTTTAAAATTCATGAAAATCGACGTAAATTAATGACTACGCAAGACAATTAACTACCATACCAGTTTTCAGCCTATCCATGAAAATGGAGGGAAAGACAGGACGTGAATTTACCGCATTACTTGATAACTCAATTACCTGTAAAAATACGCCGTATGAAATGATATATCGTATATTATTATTTTACAGTTATTGCAGTCAATGAACAATTTATTGGTATGCCGTGTAATGTTTGGTCCTATAGAAAGATACGGTGTTCAAACCTGTTGCAAATTTCCATATTCTATAGTAGACGTTAACTTAGCATAAAAACAATTGGTATTTATTTTACAGGTATAAAGAACATGTTTCCGTTTTATCAAATGAACAGTTTATTGTTAATTCACGTAGTAAGATATGATGTTAAAATGAAATGAAATGAAATGGGGGTTAACGCCCTACTGTTCTGCTCCGAAGTGGGCCGATATGATGTCAAACGTGTTACAAATTAACAACTGGTGTATTAGTCGAGAATTGTACAAGTACAAGTAATTTTACGTTTAATCGAAAATTCCAATAAACAATTTATTTTTAGGTCAAAGGCATGTGCTACAGGTGGTAGACCATATTTAAAATTTATTTGCAGATAGATTATTATATGGAAGGTCTGCCTGGATAGAAAATAAGATTTTGTGTGAAATGGGTGTCCCGGAAACAAATGGGTTCACTTACATCAAATATCTGGTTCTACAAATTGTATTTGTCATTCTAAACTAATTCCTCTGTGGAACAAACGTTTCAGGTTTTATCGAAAATTCCAATACACAATTTATTTTAAGTTGGAGGGGAAAGTGTTACAGGTTTTAGGCCATATTTAAATGATGTTTAAAGGAGCAAAGTCTTCAACTCAATATCATCCACAGTCTTTGAAATTGTAAACACGACTTATTGGTCAATTTAAATCAACATTGATGTTGTTATCTTACTGTGAAAAGATGGGCTTCTGATGATATCCAATATTTAAAACAAAATGAGGGCCATTTGTATGAAGTGACTCGATGAACGAGTCTAAACAAACTCCATGTAGGAGAATACTACCAGTGTAGACTGGAAAACCCAGACGCCAAAGACTACTATTCAATTCGGACTCTTCGCGTATTTTTGACGAAGGTAACTGATTAGATATTACAGTAAAAACAGAAACGATTGAATGTAAATCGGTTAATATACATTCATATTACATTATTATGTGCGTTGTTACCCATTTGTGTCCATTCTAGGTACCAAACGATAGCGACTTAGCTCCTTTAAATGTCTATTTTTATATATGAACCTGTTCTTACTATCCGTCTATAATATACCAGGGACGGACTACGGGTCTCGATCCTTGCTCCGTTAAGGGTTCCGCATAGGCGTACGAGCTGGGGGGGGGGGGGGCAGTGGGGGGCGGCCACCCCCCCCCCCATTTTGGGCACCAAATGCTGGGAAAATTTGGGCACACAATTGTATTTTGTAAAAGTTGTATAAAAAAAGATATTGTGTTCTTGAATGTGTCCAATTTAACAGCGAATTTATTATTATTATGTAACATACTAAGTACCTAACTTCATTTTTTGGGCACCAATCACCACCGCCCCCCCCCCCCCAGTCAAAAAGTTCCCCGTACGCCTATGCGGTTCCGACACTATATGGGTTGGGGGGTCTCTCCTACCGGGTTCGAAATGTATTATACAACAGTTGGTCTCTCCATTAATTATTAGTAATGTAAAAAGTAGAAATCAGTGGTAGGTATTACGTGAGCCTACCCCCCGCCTCGTGCACCGCCCCCGTCACAACAACATATAAATTAATGGCGAGATGGTTTGTAATTTGAATCGTTTTGACGTTTTAAACAATTTATGAAGTGTTAAATAAGTTTTGTTTTGACCTTCTGTGCCCACTTGGACTGTCCATTGAAGGGACTATCCCGATTTGAACAGTTTCTCAAAAATAAAAGTCAGTGTACGTATGAAAGTTTAGCGCCACAATATAGAGGAATGGTGTATTTACCTTGTCTCAAAACTTCAGCTCACAATATCCAGTCGTTTGGACGTGAACGTCAAAACCCTTTTAATATTTCGGGTCATTTTTTCCGTTGGGTTACCTGATAATCGATTGCCATTCCTTTAGAGGTCTAAACAGTGCATGACCCCATTCTGAACATCTGAGACACGCTACCTGCGGAGAAGTATCTCAGACAAAGTCAATAGCCATAATATCCATATCACGTGATCTACACATCACAGGTCATGACATTGACGTCAATGGGTCATGAGGTCAACATTGTAAACAATAGGTTTATCTTCAGCATTGTGTCCGTTGCACCCATAAAGACTATATAATTCGTACAGTCCCAACATGTTCTCTCTTTTACTAACGATTTTTCACAAAAATAACATCTACAACTCATAGAATTGACAGCGCGGGAATCACGTGGCTAAGTGGGTAAGACGCTAGCTCGCTAGCCTGGAGGTCGGGTGTTCGATCCCTGCATTGGCCGAGAAAGTTCATCCAGATTTTCCGGCGTGGTTCTCCCTTGTCAGTGATGCAGGACGGAGGGCCTGACAAGGAAAGCTGTCTAGTCGTTCGGATAGGACGAAAAACCGAGGTCCCGTGTACACTTTGGCGTGCACGTAAAAGATCCCTTGGCAGTTGGAATTCGATATAAGAGTAGGCCGTAGTGCAGCTGTCCGGGCAAAATTTCCCTCATAGCACACTGTATGGCGTATGCCCGTCTTCATTAGCCCAGTTTAGGAGCAGAACAGTAGGACGTTAAACCCCATTTCATTTCATTTCAATGACAGCGTCTGCGAGGGTTGTTCATAGAGGCCGTCATATTGGACTATTTTGTGCGTCGGTCGGGTCTATTTCAGATATACACAATCAATTCTGTTGATGTTTTTGGCGTTGGGATTGACTAATAGTTAATGTGTTTCAGTTCTAAAACAAATATTTTAAACTTTAACGCAAATTTAGAAAATAGCCAAATTCTTGCTGGGATTACTGAGCAAAATGGCCATTCACTGTATACGTGCGAAAAAAAAGCTAGCCACCAATTAATTTTCGTAATAACGAAAGATAAATTTCACCTGCAGGTTTTTTTTTATAAAATAAAAGTCTAGTTTTATCCAGACACCGTATAGTACAGCTTGGGACACCGGTCTCCATTTCCAGACGGATCACGTATATTGAGTTAGTTGCTCGGCCCTAAGGTAGAGGATTTTAAGTGCTTTTAACACAAAATTAAGCAGTTTTATTCTCCAAAATATTATCCAGGTTGTCCTTTAATTAATTGTCTCAGAAATGTATGAGCATTCAAACTTCAGATATAAATGCTGGGGACCTGAAATGAATAGTTAACAGACCATACTAAACACATTCCTTAAATAACACCCCGCCCCACACGCCTTCAGCAAAAAAAAATAAATAAAAGTAATATTTGAATCCCCCTACTTCCACGCACCCCCCCCCCCCCCGCAAAAATTAATTAATCCCCACACAACCGCATTTATAAAATACACCAACCCTTTTTTTTCTGATATTGAATTCCCATTTCCACAAGTCGACATGATGCCCCTTTAATGTAATATGATAAAAAAAATATACATGTTCATCTGTTACAGACTATGACTCATCTTGATCTAGTAGTATATATAAAGATACCATTGATACTTTATTCAAATCACTGATTGAAAGAATTATTTCATAGGTAAGATATATTTATTGTTTGGTCGGGGTGGGGTGGCATGGGTACAGCAATCGGGTAAAGTACCATTTTTATTACAGCGAAATGCACCATACATTCCTGGGTTTGTGGAATATTTATAAGGCCGAGGTCTATTTTCTACCGCAGATTCCTTCCATCTGCATAACCGATAAGGGGTGCTTCATCTCGCAAAAATTGGGTGCATTTTTCAGTTGTTAATTAACATTGGGTAATATGCGTTTTAAAACAGGTGTGGATATGTCGGCCGTGCAGGAAACACACCTATACATCAGCTAAAATGCTGAATATCTGCAGGATCCATCTCCTCCTACCCCCTTGCTTCAAACTGATGTCACTGTTGCGTTCACAAGGTTTTCAGAAAGGGGGTGGGGGTAATTATGGAACAGAAAGTCGTAATGTTTCGCACCAAGTTTGAAAGATACGACAGTCCTAAAATAACGGGGTGTTTCGATCCAATACCCCCCCCCCCTCCCCAACCAATCCAATTTTATCTCTCTATGCCAATAGATAACAACCTATTCTTGTCATGTTCCTTCTTCTTAATAAATCCACACATTTATTTATTATGGCGTCGGACAAATGTTTGTTTCGAACTATCGGAACCTCCAACTATCGAACCTACCGACAGTATGAGATATTTGAACAATGCAGGGAATGACGTGTTGTATTGGCTGTATTTGTAATGATTTGAATTAATGTCCCGTAGTTCATATCAATATATATTGAATATTTCCAGCTAAAGATCAAGATGAGTATCATAGTTACAGCTATTGTGTTTTCTCTGTGTCTTGTGAGGTATGATGTTATATGTTTACCACTGTAAAACAATATATTATTGCGACTTCAGTTATCTTCTTTAGCGTACCCATCAACACTATATTATTACGATACGGGGTATTTTCTTGAGATTAGTTCTTTGGTGTACTCTACAACACTATATTATTACGACACGGGGTATTTTCTTGGGTTTATTGTATAACATGCGACATGGGTTAATAGGTTATCTTCTGTATTTTAACATACATTATTCAAGAGCTAAATCTACTTATTGCAAGTCTTTATTTAGGCTTTAGATGTTTTAGATATTATAAATTAGACCTTTATTTACATGACAAGCTCAAAATCAAGGCCTGCCAAGCGAGGGTATAGTAGTCATTGAGAATCGAGAATTTGTGGGTGGAGTTATCTGTCAATCAAACGATCAGCAATTCTCGTAGACGGTGCGGACACAGTTGATGCCTATTTCTACAACAAGATATTATGGCGACACCTTTAGTTTGCTTTACAGTCATAGGTTATCTCTAATAATATTAAAAAGATGAAAATTTAATAAATTGTGTTTTTTACCACATTGTTTTGATTGAAAGATGTTTATATGAGTACATATTCTCTATGTAGTTTCAGTTATGGCCAAAAATTCTCATCTATGGACCAAAATAATGATACGAAATTGACATATGCTGAATTGGAAGGTTACTTTGCTACGTTTGATATGAATGGTATATACTAATTCTAGTTGAAATAATTCGGGTGGGGGTCTAAGGTAAACACGGTGAAATTAATGCGTATGATTTGGATGGTATGTACTATTTCTAGTTGAAATAATTGGGGGTTGTTTTCTAAACACATTGATTTTAATGACGCAGAAATTTGAGTTTATCATCCCATAAACTGCAGATAAACCCCAGATCATGTATGGTTACTGTTCAACTGATTCCTGACACATACAAACCCGATAAAACGGTGTTAATTTGAAACCATGTTCAAGTACCGGTACGTCATGTTGGCCTACTGTAAATATATGAATTATTTATGTCATTTTGGGACTAACAAAGAGAGGGTGGTTTAATGTCCAGTCGACACAAACTATGTCATTTCGGGAATAACATATGATACTGTGTGTTTAGCAGTTGGAGGAACCTGCTGGGATCCCCCTCCCCTCCCCACCACACCCACACGAGGCTGGACATGCGATGCTACTGTGTGTCGCGTTCAAGTTTGAGATCGAAACAACGCCATTTGAGTCAGTGACAGACCTTATGACCTTATGAAATAAAATAGAACGATATGTTAGTCCCGAAATGATCTAGTTTATGTCGAGTGGACGTTAAACCTCATTTCTCTACTTAAATCTTTTTCTTAAGGTAACGATGAAGTTACCCGGGCGGAGCATAAAAAGAAAACTGATATGAATAAAGCTGAAGCCGAAGCTGTATTTAAAATGTACGACACAAATAAAGACGGAAAAATTGATAAGACTGAATTAAAAAGTCATTTTGATGTGTTTGATGCTAATGGTAAGTTTCTTACTTCAATCATAACAGAGGGTCACGGTGGCTAAGTGGGTAAGACGCTGGCTCGCTAGCCTGGAGGTCGGGTGTTTGATCCCTGCATTGGCCGAGAAGGTTCATCCAGATTTTCCGGCGTGGTCCCCCCATTGTCAGTGATGCAGGACGGAAGGACTGATAAGGACAGCTGTCTAGTCATTCGGATGAGACGAAAAACCGAGGTCCCGTGTACACATTGGCGTGCACGTAAAAGATCCCTTGACAGTTGGAATTCGATATAAAAGTAGGCCGTAGTGCCGCTGTCCGGGCAAAATTTCCCTCATAGCACACTGTATGGCGTATGCCCGTCTTCGGAGCAAACCAGTAGGACGTTAAACCCCATTTCATTTCATTTCATTTCAATCATAACAGAGGTCCAGTTATATCTGACCACGCCTACTTCTAATCCACAGTCTAATAATAATACACATTACCTGGAACACCGTAACAATAATAACAGAGGTCCAGAGATATCTGACCACGCCTACTTCTAATCCACAGTCTAATAATAATACACATTACCTGGAACACAGTAACAAATTGAAATGAAATGTGGTTTAACGTCCTACTGTTCTGTTCCTAACCTGGGCTAACGAAGACGGGCATACGCCATACAGTGTGCTATGAGGGGAAATTTTGCCCGGGCAGCGGCGCTACGGCCTACTCTTATATTGAATTCCAACTGCCAAGGGATCTTTTACGTGCACACCAATGTGTACACGGGACCTCGGTTTTTCGTCTCATCCGAACGATTAGACAATTGTCCTTGTCAGGGCCTCCGTCCTGCACCACTGACAAGGGGAAACCACACCGGAAAATCGGGATGAACTTTCTCGGCCAATGCAGGGATCGAACACCCGACCTCCAGGCTAGCGAGCTAGCGTCTTACCCACTTAGCCACGTGATCCCCAAGGGGGTTTGAAACTGAACTCCGGTTACAAAACTACAGAAATAATAAAATAACAAATATTGATGCCCTAAACAGTCGCCATACTTGTCTTCAATTTGCAATATAGTGGAGCAATCGTTGTCTTGGCGTCCCGGAATCTATTAGGATAGAAGCAAGAATGGCCAGAAATTGACATTTTACTTGATTTGACGGCTGTTCGATTGGTCTCACGAAATAATCCAGTAATGCCATATATTATTTAAAAATTGTATTTTAATTTAGTTTTACACCTGAAGTTTAGCTATAAATTAGAGATATCTAGAAATTTTATTTTGATGTGATCTCTATTTATTTACAGGCGATGAGATAGTAACTTTAGAGGAATATATTGCACAGCTTCAAAAAGTAAGAAAAAATGAAATGAAATGAAATGTGGTTTAACGTCCTACAGTTCTGCTCCTAACCTGGCCTAATGAAGACGGGCATACGCCATACAGTGTGCTATGAGGGAAATTTTGCCCGGGCAGCGGCACTATCGCCTACTCTTATATCGAATTCCAACTGCCAAGGGATCTTTTACGTGCATTCCAATGTATACACGGGACCTCGGTTTTTCGTCTCATCCGAAGGACTAGACAGCTTTCCTTGTCAGGCCCTCCGTCCTGCATCACTGACAAGGGAGAACCACGCCGAAAAATCTGGATGAACTTTCTCGGCCAATGCAGGGATCGAACACCCGACCTCCAGGCTAGCGAGCTAGCGTCTTACCCACTTAGCCACGTGATTCCCGCGCTGTCAATTCTATGAGTTGTAGATGTTATTTTTGTGAAAAATCGTTAGTAAAAGAGAGAACATGTTGGGACTGTTGGGATCTTTTACGTGCATTCCAATGTATACACGGGACCTCGGTTTTTCGTCTCATCCGAAGGACTAGACAGCTTTCTTTATCAGGCCCTCCGTCCTGCATCACTGACAAGGGGGAACCACGCCGGAAAATCTGGATGAACTTTCTCGGCCAATGCAGGGATCGAACACCAGACCTCCAGGCTAGCGAGCCAGCGTCTTACCCACTTAGCCACCCGACCTCCAGGTAAAGTAAGAAATAGATAATAGCTTTTTATTGTCTTATCAACTGAATTTGTAACAGTTATTTAAATGTCCTAGCATTTGTATATCTTAGCATTCGTCTACTTTCCATCATACTCTTGTAGCTTACAGGTTATTGTTCCGCTAACCCTAACCCTGCGCATTATAACAATTCCAGTAATACCACTCGTGCATGTAAATGTAATATATCCTCTGTAGTTGTTTTCTTGGTGGCTAAATACACCTCCCCCCCCCCCCGCCTTACTGTTATTGATTTTAGGGTTAAAAAAAATATTAAAGAAATAAAAAATAACTATTTGATGTCTCCCAACCAATATACTAGAACATTGTGACCAGTGTTTAAATTGGAAAACATCACAGTGAGAGAGTTTGAACCAGATAGTTTTTAGCTTAGGCAGGGTAAGCTTACTCTTCCGGACACCTGTTACCACTGTTTGTCGTGTATTTTGTACACGAGGAGCAGTCCATTTGCTGATTACACTATTTTGCTTGAATACACTATTTTGCCTATAACGTTTTTTAGGACTTCGAATTCTGTCTTATGGTTTGGATTGTTCGTACTTGGTTTTATTTTATTATCATAAAAAGTAGACGAATACCTATGTAAACCTGTTGGGCAAGATCATTTCTAATACCATAAGAATTACAGAGTTCTAATTCTACAATACATATTATATTTTATCTTACAGCTACAGCAACAGCAACAACCAACAGGAAAATGATCTGATTCCCATCAATAAAAATTTTCAAAACATTTCGTTGTATATAATTTTGTGTATAGTTTTCCAATTGACTCACAGGGTACAGCGGAGATTAGGATATGGTTACCTGTCTAATGAACTGGCACTTAGAATCGTCAAAACATCCACGGAAAAGGGTCATTTGCCTTCAAGATTATTAGCTGTACTTAACTGCCCTCCCCAACCCCATCCCTACTCTGGTCTTGAACTGGACCAGTTTAACCAATCAGGCGGCCCAGGAGTAAATATAACATGGGCGGGAATCTTAGATCTTCAATATCTTAAATTGGGTGGAAATGTGATAATGTTGGTTATCTTTTTATAGCACTTTACATCTGTAAATAAGTATATAGCCGTTATAGGACCCTCTTGGACAACCTCTTTGTTTAGTGTAGGGACTCGGAGATGGAGGGGACTATGATAATGTTGATATAAATGATGATCATCGCATGGATTAGTAAACCCTTAATTTATAGCTCTGTACATCTATTATGAAGTGTATATAATGCCTTTGTTTGCTCTGTGAGGGGTTGTGGTTGTGTGTGTGTGTGTGGGGGGGGGGGGGGCACGGTATCTAGGCGGGTAAAACAAGGCTTTGGCTCGCTAGCCTGGAGGTTGGATGTTCGATCCTTGCATTGGCTGATAAAGTTCATCCAGATTTTCTGTCGTGGTTCCCACTTGTCAGTGATGCATGACGGATAGCCTGACAAGGACAGCTGTCTAGTCGTTCGGATGGAACGAAAAACCGAGGTTCCGTCTACACATTGGTGTGCAAGTTAAAGATCCTTAGGCAGTTGGAATTCGATATAAGAGTAGACGGTAGTGCCGCTGTCTCTGCAAAATTCCCCTCATAGCACACTGTATGGCGTATGCCCGTCTTCATTATCCCGACCAGGAGCAGAACGGTGGGATGTTAAACCCCATTTCATTTCATTTCATTGCGGGTAAGGTGCAATGCCAAAAATTGGCGTGAAATATTTTAGAGTGGGGTCCAAAATAAACCTTTTGGGACAAAAACCATATGGTTCGAAATTTGTCTGATGATCGACTTTTAGATTAGTAAAATATTAATTTCTAGCAATGTGGATCTATGACATAGTCGATAAGGTGCCATTGGAGAACTGGTTTGCTTTGTGGGGGTGGTGTGCGTGAGGGGTAAGTGGGGGGGGGGGGGGTAAATGCCTATAATTGGCGGGAAATATGATCAATGCCTCTAGACAACTGTAAATCCTTGCGGGTTTAAGGACAATTTCAAAAGTGGACGAGGAATGTGGTAATATTGTATCGTTATGTATAAATATTTAAGTAGTCTGGAGGGGTCCATCAAATCCCCTCGAGATGAACGCGATCTGCCGATCCCCACCTTCTGCATGGTTTTCTCGTGGAATGACTCACCTACATGGATACCATTACTTGCCTTCTATTGCCTTGGTTGTGTCATATTAACTATGAGAGAAATTTTGCCCGGGCAGCGACGCTACGGCCTACTCTTATATCGAATTCCAACTGCCAAGGGATCTTTTACGTGCACGCCAATATGCACACGGGACCTCGTTTTTTCGTCCCATCCGAACGACTAGACAACTGTCCTTGTCAGGCTGCCCGTCTTCATTAGCCCAGTTTAGAAGCATAACAGTAGGGCGTTAAACCCCATTTCATTTCATTTCATGTGTTATATTAACTACGATCAAGTGTTTATTATTTATTGTTCAAAAATTTGGGTTGGGGTGGGGTGAGGCGCGGGAAGGTGTGGGGGGGGGGTGTGGGGGGGCGGGAAGGGTGGGGGTATTTGTTTAACCCATATGGATACTATTACTATGCCATAAAGTGTTTTTATTTTATTTATTTATTTCCATTCAAGATACATTATGGGAAATTCGATAACGAGTTGGCAGTTCGTTCTTACTATAATAGTTAAAAACTAGATAATGTAAATGCAATTTGCTGAAAATTTCATTCACATTGATCCACTATGAACCGAGAACTAAGCGTTTGAAATTTCCGCCTAGCGTCTATCATCATTACTAAAGTCAGTACGATAAACAGCATAGTCTCGATTATCCATTTAATCGTTAAATCGTGAAGGAAAGTTATGCAGTAAATCGGCTCATAATCCACTTAAGATCGTAGGCTAGCGATGCAATCTAGAGTTGATTATGGTCTGGATAGGTTAATTAATGTCTAATTAAT